TTTGGCTGTGGCAGGTCCACTTCCTCACCATGGCCTAAAAAATTTAGCCAAACGCTATGGTCCTCTTATGCATTTACAACTTGGACAAATTCCTACACTCATCATATCATCACCTCAAATGGCAAAAGAAGTACTAAAAACTCACGACCTCGCTTTTGCCACTAGACCAAAGCTTGTCGTGGCCGACATCATTCACTACGACAGCACGGACATAGCATTTTCGCCATACGGTGAATACTGGAGACAAATTCGTAAAATTTGCATATTGGAACTCTTGAGTGCCAAGATGGTCAAGTTTTTTAGCTCGATTCGCCAAGATGAGCTCTCGAAGATGGTTTCATCTATACGAACGACGCCCAATCTTCCAGTCAATCTTACCGACAAGATTTTTTGGTTTACGAGTTCGGTAATTTGTAGATCAGCTTTAGGGAAGATATGTGGTGACCAAGACAAATTGATCATTTTTATGAGGGAAATAATATCATTGGCAGGTGGATTTAGTATTGCTGATTTTTTCCCTACATGGAAAATGATTCATGATATTGATGGTTCAAAATCTAAACTGGTGAAGGCACATCGTAAGATTGATGAAATTTTGGAAAATGTGGTAAATGAGCACAAACAGAATCGAGCAGATGGTAAAAAGGGTAATGGTGAATTTGGTGGAGAAGATCTGATTGATGTTTTGTTAAGAGTTAGAGAAAGTGGAGAAGTTCAAATTCCAATCACAGATGACAATATCAAATCAATATTAATCGTAAGTTCTCTATATCTATTTAGTTCCTTGCTTTTTTTTCCTAATGTAATATCAGCGAAGGTGTGACAAAGCAGAGACGGAGCATGATCTAAAGTTTACGAGTTCTGAACTTGACATCATATTCATAGCTCATCTTCGTTGTTGGGTTCACAATTAAATATTTATACATATTTAATGAATTTTCTAATATAAATAGAGTATCTAAACAAAAGCTCTAGCTCCACCCCTGCGTACAAGAAAGAGTAATGATGTTACTACATTTGTGCACCACATTTACTAGATTTTCTTATGCACGATTACAGAAAGGGACAAATATAAACTCCCAGATTTTCTTACATGAGTAATGCTACAAGCTTTAAAAAAAACTAAAAGAGCTAATTCCTTTTTCAAGTCTAGCTTCCAACTCAATATATCATGTTCGTTTCTTCATCATGTAGGACATGTTCTCTGCCGGATCGGAAACATCATCGACAACTATAATTTGGGCATTAGCTGAAATGATGAAGAAACCAAGTGTTTTAGCAAAGGCACAAGCTGAAGTGAGGCAAGCTTTGAAGGGGAAGAAAATTAGTTTTCAAGAGATTGATATTGATAAGCTAAAGTATTTGAAGTTAGTGATCAAAGAAACTTTAAGAATGCACCCTCCAATTCCTCTGTTAGTCCCTAGAGAATGTATGGAAGATACAAAGATTGATGGTTACAATATACCTTTCAAAACAAGAGTCATTGTTAATGCATGGGCAATTGGACGAGATCCTCAAAGTTGGGATGATCCTGAAAGCTTTACGCCAGAGAGATTTGAGAATAATTCTATTGATTTTCTTGGAAATCATCATCAATTTATTCCATTTGGTGCAGGAAGAAGGATTTGTCCTGGAATGCTATTTGGTTTAGCTAATGTTGGACAACCTTTAGCTCAGTTACTTTATCACTTCGATTGGAAACTCCCTAATGGACAAACTCACCAAAATTTCGACATGACTGAGTCACCTGGAATTTCTGCTACAAGAAAGGATGATCTTATTTTGATTGCCACTCCTGCTCATTCTTGATTAAGTATTGCTGCTTTTCTATTGGAGAATTTTCAAAATTCATCCACAATATATAGTGTTTGCTAGAGTTGGTTAGCTTTCCACTCTATATCATACTCAATAATCGTTTGGGGGTATTTATATTACAAATAAATAAAAGTTTTCCTTTTTGCATTTGTATGCATAACATAAACTTCTGATTAAATTTCACTTTGTTCTCTTTATTGTTTGAGGTAAATGATCTTCCCAATTTTGTAAAAGGACAAGATTCTCTCACCATATGGAAAAAAGAAAAGAACCAAAATGTGTGAAAAATAAATTTGTGACCATTTTATATATAACGCCCTTTTAAAGCGTGTTATACCTTAACGGCTGTTTGCTCACTTAAGTATAGCGCCCTTTTAAAAGGCGTTATATGTATAAAGTCTTTTTGAAAGGCTCTATATATATTATGTGGGCCCACCAATAATTCTTCTGGATTTAACTTACTAGTTTAATTACTAGCATTTTGATGATGTTTTTATTTCATGTATAATATTATTTTTTTCATCAATGTAAGTATTTATTTCTTTTTGATTTTTAAAATAAATATTTTTTTCATTTTACATGGTACTTGCTATATGACATGCATTTATTATTTTTGTTATCATTAGTTATATACATACATGACTTACGTTAAACAATATTTCATTATTAAGGGAATGTTTTCAAATGAACTAATAATATTAAACATAATAAAAATACATTAGCTCAAATCATTTTTTATATACTAATTGACATTGCAATAATGATTCATATGTATAATAAATACTAAAAATGTATTTACATAATTATTTATGTGTCACCATTAATGATTAATTGAACAGTATTATCAAAACAAATAACTTTTCAAATTTATATTATTAAATTATTCATAATTTTATCTCCAGCACTATTTTATATTATTAATAATACATAAAAATATAATTCTCACAATAAATAATTTATGCTACATGCTTTATCTGACCTTGTAAGTATTTATTTATTGTCAGGCTCTACATCTATGCATAATTATACGTACTACATCTTTCCTGCGATTAACTTATGCACAGTATTATGAACTATTGGTGCGGTGAACGTGGATTAGGTATTTCATGTTAATAGTAAAATAATTTATAAATAGCGAAAAAAAAAGAAACATAATATGATGTTTTAAATATTTATAAAGTTGTATTTATCATATGTTATTGTGAAAAAATTGTCTCCAGTGATTTTAAGTAATATCAGTTATTATCACTTCATTTCAAATACCTAGTGTTATGTATGTGTATTTTATGTAAAAATTAATTCTTATTATTTATTATATCAAAAAATATAATATATTAATATACTATTAATTATATTATTTTAATTAATAGATATAAAATACTTTATTGGTATTCACAGAAATTTTATTTAATATGAAACTTTATTAAAATCTTTCATTAATTGCTATGCAATACGATTCAAAAAATATCAAACTATTTCTTATGTCTGTATAATAATGTTTGCTTAATATAAATAAATACTATGGTAATTAGTAATAGTATGTTAAAATTTGCAATAGTATATCATTGAATCATTTATAACGTTGACCTTTTTTCACCATTTCATCTTTAAATATGGCAAAAATCTTTTATGATCAACGAAATATGTTAACAAAATATGTATGAAACAACAAAATGCAAAACAACTTAACGAATAAATATTTCAGAAGACTTGAGAATATTTATGAATGGATTTTTACAAAATCCTTAACCTCTTTAAATAAGGCAAAAACCAGTCTGGAGTACAATTATTTGAGGTATAGAGCCTTAAATAAGGGCGTTATACCCAGTTGAACTATTGTTATGTCAGTTAAGCCCAGAAGAATTATTTGTCGGCCCACATAATATATAATATAATATATGAGTTTTTTACACACTTGATCCATTTTTAACTATTATTTAAAAAAAATAGCATCATTTATTGTTTATTCCATAAAGAGCACTTTCTTTTTCATTATTAGCATATTACAAAAACTAAGCCCAACATTCATCTTCTTCACTTCATTTTTTAAAATCATGCATATGTGAATGCCACCTAAATTCAAGATGTATTGATTTATACGTCTTTTATACTTTGTATATCAAGTATCACTTTAATTCAAAATGTATTTTTATGTATATATTTTTTGTATATTTATTTGTGAAGTGTCATCTTATTTTAAGATGTATTTTTAATGTATATTTCAAATATATTTTATATATCAAGTGCCATTTTAATTCAGGATGTATTTTTTATATATATGTTTTTTTGTATATTTATATGCCATCTTAATTAAATTTAAGCTATATTTTTTTTTATGTATATTTCATATGTCTAAGTGTTATCTTAATTGAAGATGCCTTTTTATGTATAGTTTTTGTATATTTTATATGTGTTAATTCAATATATATATTTTTATATACATTTTGTATATATATATATACGTATATTATTATCAAAGTAAGATCTTTATGTTAAGAAAGGAGGAAAAAAGAAAGAGAAAAACTTAAGAAAGATAATTAAAAAGAAAACGAATGGAACAAATTTAGAAAATATATTGGCTTCGACAGAAAATAAAATTAAGAAGATGAAGAAAAATAAGGAAAGCTAATAGATAAAGAGAAAAAAAGACATGATTTTTGTACAAAGAATTATTGATTTTCCATTCAAATTGCTTATGTTTAGAGATTAATAATTAATATTCCTATTTTAATGAAACTGTGTGTTACAAATATAAATATTTTCCTGCCACAACTGTAATATTGGATTTCATGCTACGAATTTGTTATATTTCTTTTAAATTGTGACATTTATGTAAAATTCCCTATATATAGAGCCTTTCAAAAAGACTTTATACATGTAGCGCCTTTCAAAAAGGCTTTATACAATGGTCACCAAGTTTGTTTTACATACATTTTGGTTCTTTGAATCCAAAAGAACCATATTTTGGTTTCGGACTCCGTGAAACAGTATAAACACAGAAAATTGCAGGCTTGCAGCCTTCAAATATCCAACCGCTAATCTCCAGTTCCAAAATTCAGGGGAAGGGAACATAACTAACTGTCATTACTGAAATTTTAAAAAATCAGACCTAAGAGCATCAATTTCTGCAACTGATGCTACTGGCAAAAATCCAAAGATAAAAATAAGAAAACTTTTTACCACTATTACCAAAATTAAGCGTGGTCCGACTTTTATATAGTATTATCATCAGCCTAATGATTGGTGCATGTGAGTCAGAGAATGAACACTATGATAGCTCAATCTACAGGTAATTAATTGTCTACAACGACCAAACTTGAAACGGCACATACTCGCCAATAAATACAAAGGTTTCCATTTAAAATTGGTACAAGTGAAGAAAGAGAACTAAAGAAACCTCAACTATGAAGAAATTATATAACCTTGTCATAATTTACGGAGCAACTACAGATCCCTTCTGCACATTGGGCACGAGCCATGTTTCAACAGCCATGTATCTATACACGGCAAGTGAAACATGTGATTACATTGTGGCAAACATCTAATAGTTTCCCCTAGTTGAAAGTCCTGTATGAATAGAAATAGAAAAGAAAGGTTTCAGGATCGACAATTAATTCAATATCAGCAGGAATAGCAAACAAAAGGTGTAAATGTAATTCACCTGAAGGCAGACTGAACAAGAGACTCTCTCTCCAGAATCATCCAAGTTGCTACCATTTGTGATTACAATCTTGGGGATTTTTTCAACAGAATCTCCACGCAAACCTTTAGCCCCTCCCGTATCAAAAATGTTAGGGGCCTCGTTATATGCAGTTTCAACAGCTCCCATCTGATCAACAAGAAAGAGTCAGACAATGAAGGGAGAGTAAGTTGCTGGCAAAATTTCACAATGGCCAACAGTAATGCAGCATATACCTGACTCTGGACTGCACTTAGCATAGCTGGACCTATCCGTTCACGAACCAATCGACCACTTAACAGGCTCGTGAGTACATCAATCTGTTCAAATTAAAAATTCCATCAGTCAAGGATATACCTAAGAGCCACAAAAAAGATCTTGAGACTCTCTCTCTCTCTCTCTGGGTGTGGGGGGAATACCACAAGAGTGTCGTAAAATGCGGATGCTAAAATGAACATGCAATGAACAAGATGGGACAAGATTAGAAATGATTACATCTGACTGAATGTATAAGTAGCATACTTTAGAGTATAAAATGAGAGAATTGATTGAAATATTTTGGAACCTAAAACCTTATAAAGGGGAATTGTCTCAAGAGATCGACAATCTCCCAGAGTCCATATAGACTAAGTGAATAACATAACAGAATGGAAGTAAACGTACATTGGGATGTAACTTTTAGTTGGGTTTGGTACACTTACATTAGGTCGCCAAGAATTCCTTTAGATTGTTTAGATATATGTATTCATTATAAGAATAGATGTGAGATGTAGAGAATTTCCAGTGCAAGTGAACCCTCAATTTGTCTTATAAGACAAAATTATTGAATTGGAATGAAAGGGTTCCAATTGAAGCTGGATGGATATAAATGATTCATAGAGCGGACCTCAACTTATTTAGGACTGAGTCATAGATAGTAGGTTGTTGTTGTTGTTGGTTTGTGGGGAATGGCACGTAGAACAGAGCTTATTGGATCAGGACATGACTTGTCCATCTATTATTATCCCAGACATTGAAGTTACGAAATCACAAAACAAACTCTCAGCATTATCAGTGAGAAAAGAGTCTATATTGCTTACCAAGTAAAGAAGACATCTAATTCCAGATTCATCCGACTGCCATAGTAACAGAGATGACTCAAAGACTTCAAGAGAGAAAACAGCGCCAGATATGGCACCTACCGCAGCACCTCTAACAAATCCACTCTCTGTCTCTTGGCCTATCAAAGCTCCAGTCAGTGCTCCTAATAAGGTTCCCACTGCAAGAAGCCAGCATATTTCTGATAAGTTCCACATTCCAACAAACAGGTAAAATAAAAGCCAAACTTTTGAATTTAAAGCAGACCCTCTTAACATTAGAAACATTTGGAACAAAATCACCAACCAATCTGCACGCGCACACACGCATAGCCAATCTCTCAATCAACTCGCCTTAATCCTTAACAGGGTAAACAGGGTTGGGTTGGCTATATGAATCTCTATAATCATTCCGCTCTATGCGGGTATTGAACCATTTGCCCATAAAATATTAAACCGGGGTACCAACATAGCTTGGAGTACGTCCCCACCAATTCATTAAAAGAGCTTAATATCTCTGCATATTTTGATACCAATAGGTGCAGTGGTTATTAGTATATGCTTAGACGCGCCAAATTTTTTCCCTTTTTGGCTTTCTTTCCCCCAAAATGTAAATCCCTAAGATTCAAGTCACAGAACAAATTCAACAAGATATTACGAAACCAAGGCTTACTTTTAACGGTCATGGGCCGAGCCAGGGGATGGGAGAGGGTTCATAGCCGGAAAATTACACTATATATACCAGGTTAAAAATGTAATTTATGTATACATAATAGATGTTGAATCCGCTTGACTTCTTCATATCGCTTACTTCTTTATATTTTGAACCCCCTTCTACTAATGGTATCAACGGAGTTTCCCACAGAATCGGTGTGAGTTCAATTCTCACTATCTCCTTTCCCCGACGTAATAGAAGGAAAGTTTTAAGAAAAAAACAACAAGACAACTGCCAAAAAAAAAAAAAAAAAAAAATTA